AGAATCCAAATATACAATTATTATAACATTTCTGTACGATGGAGAAGATAATAACAAGTGAAAGGATTGCAATGCAGACAGAAAAAACTACATCAGCTTTTCAGCATTCCTGATCTTTAAATATGTGGCAAAACCACAATCAAGCTCAATTTTAACTTTTTAATCAAATGATTCCACTCCCCAAACTCAAACATCAGAACTTCAGAATTCCAGATTTTGATATGGGGCAAAGGCACAATTAAGAATCAACTTTTAAATTTTATTCAATTGACTCCCAAAAAACATTTTCACCAAGTACAAAATAAGAAAAATGTGCAGAACAAAACTTGTCTATATCAGCAAAATGCTTCCACACACTACTTATTAACTGTATATAACGCACATGATGGACACCAATATCTAAAGGTAGAAGACTTTATTATCCTAGCAGCAGGTAAGCCAGGCCAAATGCTTTGTAAGGGAAAACGAAAAGGAAATGCCATAACAATCATCTCATAACAAGTTTATTCATTAATAGATTGTTAGAATATTTACTCTATTTTTCGATGAGCTTCATATGTTTATGTAATTTCAGAAAACTAGTTGTTGGCAACTGCGTATATTTGAAATTAATTTTTGCATATATTTAATTTAGTTGCATTGGAAGACCTATTTATAAGAAAAAACATGTATTATTCATGTCATGATTAGACATTTAGCTACCAGTTATATGTTTACCACACTGTGTAAAGCTTCATGTTATCACGAAGCTCGTGAAAATCTGTGTGAAAAGTAGGTGGATTATTTTCTTTCAGTTCGAAATACCCTCTTTGAGAAGAGACATTTTTAGCATAATGTTTTAATACATAGAAAAAATAATTTCGAAGAGATACAGTTGCCAGCAAGAAGTCTCTGAAACTACATAAACATATCTAAGTCAAGAATGCCGTAAAACATCAAGGAAGAATAGGATGACCACATTAGTGTCTGGTAACACATCAAGGAAGAATAGGATGACCACATTAGTGTCTGGCAAACCCATGGTCCGGTAGTTATATCAGCAGATTCAGGAATAGAACTTCAACTCATTTATTTCCAGTTGAATCATGCAAGATAAAAATTGAAAGCAAACAATGCTTTTTACAAGAAAAATAAAGATTAAAAGTATGAGAAATATTGCCTAATATATGTAAAAATTGTAAGCTAAAAAGCTTATGTGAGTTTTACTGTGTCACTAATTAATATCAAAGTTCATTACATGCTAACCACAGCTTTTAATCCTTTCTTTCATCAAAGAAAAAGGGTAACAGATTTACTCATTTGTCACAGTAATGGACACTCCTACGCTGTTTTAGCTTATAAAATGTTTGGCAAATAGCATACTAAAGTAGTAGAATTAACAAAATGTTACAGATTTCAAAAGTGTGGGAGAAAAACTAAAACATAAGATATATGAGGTATTCCCCAACCAAAGCTATGTAAAGTTCCACTAAGAACAAGATGATAGAGAAGCATCTGAGTTAGTTAGTTAGGAGAGTTATGTAGGAAAAACAACCAAAATGTTCAAAACCTTAAACAACATCATAGGACATAATTCAAATCGAGCAACAAAAAATCCCAGAGGGCAAGCAATACTAAAGAAAAGAGAACAGAAATTATTAGAGGGATAAGCACAAATACAGAGATTTAATACAAAATAAAAGGTATGAAAGCAAGAAGAGAAAACCCACATAGGGAATTGGAGAGAAAAAGGAGTCAATAGTTGAAAAGGTGATACCTTTCCACCGACGAGGATCCAGCAATCGTCTTTGGTTTTGTGGTGGGATAAATCTTGAATGGCGTAGAAATTGGTGAGGGTTGGCATGTTAAATTTTGTTGGGAGGGAATCCAGGATGTTAGGAAATGGGGAGGAATCGAGAGCGATGGAGCATATAAAGGGAAGACTGGACTACCCAACACGACAAAACTAAACCTTCCAATTTTAGCCTTCAGTAACCACTTTACATTTAAATAATTACTCGTTACTATTTTATAATTTTCTAATGTAAAAAAGTTTTACAACAATGAAAAAGAAAGTGAACATGTAATTATTTTAATTTGAATATGCTACTAATATAAAAAAAATCATATACATGTTTACACTATTATTATCTATACTATTTTATATTATATTTTCAATTTTAATTTTTAAGTATTTTTTTTAAATTGATTTAATTATTTTATCAATTTTATCTGTTAAGTGACTCAATTTCTTTAATTTTTTTTTTTAAATTTAACTATTAATGTATACACCACACTTATGAAAACCAATTTCCTTTAAATAGTTATACACATTGTTATAGATAAAACTTCTTACCACTTTATTGTATAGATAAATGTCATTTCAAACTCAATTAACTATTCACAGTAGAAACCTACACAATGAAATAAATATCTATAATAAAATTATTAAATTGTTTTCAAAATATGTTTTTTATTTTAATAATTATTTTATTTTTATTAATCATAAAAAATAGACATAATAAACTTATTTTATGTGTCTCCAAGGTTATAAATAGTTTTTATTCACCCAAAAAATTGTTATCAAAATGATGTGGCATGTAGAAGTAGTTAAATCAGTTTACTTAGTTGTAAATATTGAATAAACTATGTGTTAAAGAGATTGACAAATATAAAGTAGAATATGTTTAAATATTATTTCTGTATTTATTTTAATTTAATTATATTTTATGATTTATTTTTTTGATTAATTTGATCATTTGGAATTTTCATTTATACATGACACTTTTTTATTATTAATTTTTTTCAATTAAGTTATTCTATTTTTTTCATATTATGTATTCTATTATATATATATATATATATATATATATATATATATAACCCTAGAAAATGGTGTTTTAGAAGTGGTGGTAGTCTAAAAATAGTGAGACTTGATTATTTTAATATTAAACAGTTTTATTATAAATAGTTTTGTTATAAACGAGTTTCATTATTTTAAAACGTATCATCTTTTTATAAACTACTTTTCTAGAGTTCTCTACCATCTCTCTAACCTTTCTCACTCCTGGACCATCTATTCGACAATCAGGAGGTACCTTGACGATCCTGGTGTAGAGGGCTACAATCTCTACCAATCAATTTCCTGTTTTGAGTCGGTAAGTTATTTCCCCTCTTTCTTCGTACATTCTTGGACCGTGATCATGCAACGATTTCTGTTTGCATGTATCTGGTTGTTTTCTCTTCAATTTCTAGCTCAATTTAGGTTCTAAGGTCGGTTTTCTATCACTAATCGGTGAGTTGTAGGTTTTTGTAGAGTTTTCTTGTGGTGCAAGCAACTATTGTGTAATTCTTGAGTTGTGTTGTTGATCAGAGGTAAGGGAAGCTGGATTTTCTCTATAATTATTGAATTATTTCTAGCATGTGTAAAGGTTATGTTAGTATTAGAATTGTTGGACTGAAACTTCAATGGCTATGTTAGAATTCATGTATGCAATGTGGCTGTTTTGAGTGTGCATGTTTGAATAGCGAAAGGTGGCGCATAGCGAGTGTTTAGGGGTGTCTGGGCCACTGCCTAGACTTTCGTATAGCGATTTGGGGCGCTATGCGAAGGGGTTGAGGTATGGTACTACTGGAAGTTTATTCGCACAACGAGATTGGGTCACTGTGCGAGAAACCTTTGGTTTCGCTATGGGAGAGGGTGCACTGAGCTAATGATTCAGGTTTTAGTTTACTCTTTAATTCTTTGTTCTAGTTTGATTTAAATGAAGTTTTAAGATCCATTGGGAAGTATGTATGAATGTGTATTAAGTTATATGATTGATCATGATCTGAGTTATGTTATGAATGAAAGTATGTGGTTTCAAGGTATGATTAATGGACGTAATTCCATGATCCTCACGGAGAGATTACATGGTGGTGCCCTGTGTAAGTTTAGAATGATTGCAGGAAGCATAGTCTTGGGGGTTATCCTGAAATTCCAATGGTCTTTCATTCTCAAGTAGAGAGGATTGAATCATGTCGTGAGGAGTAGCAGGAGGTCCTTAGTCTTGGGGGCTTCCAGTATGCCTCAAGGCCCAGAACAAACTAACCTCGTGAGTGTGGTAGGGTGAAACTCATTGGCAATGACTTTACAAAGAAGTAGAGGCCACCACGAGTGCATGACCCGCCATAGCTCGACAATCATTCTAAGTCCGGACAGTCGGTTTAGGTCTTTGCATGTTAAGATGTTTGGATTGGATTAAATTAGACATGATTATTATATGAAATGCTTTAAACTTATGATGTATTGTTTTCTATCCAGCTTACCCTTGCTTTTCTGTGTCTGTCTTTGTATGTTGTTTCTCTATTGCGATGATCACCTAATGGTGTAAGCTTAGGGATTCATTTTTTTGCAGTCGTTCCAGCTAGAGATGGGGGAATTAGATAGATCTACAAAAGTAGATCTCTTCTTTGAGCGAGGTTTGTTTCATCTAGTGGTTCTTTTAGCATCTATATAACGTTTCATTTTTTGTAGTTTTATACTATTAAAATGGGATGTTACAATATATATATATATATATATATATATATATATATATATTGGTTTAAACCCTCGGATGGTTATCATATTTGTATGAGAATCTCAAGTGGGTCCTCATATTTGCAACTGTCTCAATTGGGTCATAATATTTGTAAAATTGAGGCAATTTTGCTTTATCCGTTAAGTTCTCACAGGCGGTGTTAAACTATGATGACGTGTTTATGCTGATGTGCATTGTTTAATTAGATGAAATTTTTATTTAAACTAAAAAATTATGACATGGAAAATTAGGGTTTTTCATTCTGCAGAGGGGAGGAAAAAGTTATGTCGTCACACGTAGTGGAGGCGCGAAGGAGATTGATATTAAGGTGGAATCGATCTCGCAATGACACTGCTTTCACGGATGTTGGCTATCTGTTCACGGTAGTCTCTTGCGATGATAGTGAAGTGAGAATGAACGTTGCGATTTGGTTGGAGATTCCACGAGAACTCCCACAAAATGTCGTTCGGTGATTCCATAGCGAATTCACCTGAACTTCGAGCAGAAGGAGCTTCCAGAGAGAACTCCCACAACATGTCGCTCGGTGATTCCACAACGAATTCACCTGACCTTCAAGCGGAAGGAGCTTCAGAAGAGAACTCCTACAACAAGCCGCTTGGTGATTCCAAAGAGAACTCCTAGAGTCTGCCGCTCAGTGTAGAGAGGAATGAAGACTTAAAGCGCATCGAAAACAGACTTCCTAAATACAACTTGAGCGACCTTTCTTATAGTCATAATAATCCTTGCGCACCCCTTTCAATAAAGAGCTTGCTTGGGCTTACGGGACTTATATACTATATGAAATATACTGATCGGAGTTAATGGTCACATTTATGGACAATTAGGAGGTATTAATGGGTCAGATTGTCTTACACTTTACAAATATACGGTATTAATAATTGATTATTGGGTTTGATTGCATAAAAATATACTGCATTACAAGCCCTATAAATATACTATTGATGTCCATATAAAATAACCTCGATCTATCTTAATAAAATAAAGACCTCTTTATGAAACATATCTGACTTGAGCGTCAAAGTGACTTCTGTAGGTCAACAATCCATTGGAGTGGATTGTGTTCTCGGAGAAGATTAAACGATCGAAAGAGAGTACAAGGACATCCTCATACCAATTCAACCAAAACACAAGATATTTATTTTTATTTAATTATTATTTAAGTGAACTTAAAATAATTGAATAAAAATATTTTATAAATATGAGATAAAGTTTAACACAGAAAAATGAATAATAATTTGTTGAATTTGATCTTTAAAATCCTGATCAATCATGATTGTTGAAATAAGTGATAGCATTTTTTCTTTAATGTTATAATGTTTTTAATTAATAAGAAATTTTTTAAAGAAATTAGGTGAAAATTTCGAAGAATACTAATATGAAATATGTTAAAAAAATAACTTAATTAAGTTAAAATATTATGTCTATTTATTTTTAAATTTTAAGATCAAAATATACTAAAATTTTAAATATGGATAAATTCGAATTTAATCTCAAAATTCAAAAATAAAAAGCATGTTTAATGTTTTGATTTTATATTAATAATTTGAAACATAAAGTATTATTTTTCATCATTTAATATAAAAGTGAGAACCATACATAAATGTTTACAAGAATGGTAGATAGAGAAATAATATCTTAACTCCAAATATCAGTTTGTTTTTCTATATTATTATTGTAGTTGTATGACAATATATAGTTTTTATTGATAAAATTTGGATAATATGTACAAAACAACTCTTAAATATATAAGATTTCATTTTAATAGCATGAAACTATTAAAAGAAATATCATATATATTTAATATTTAATAATACATAATTCAAAAAATATATACATGTGTAAAGATATTATTACATAAATTATTAATAATATAATTACATCAAAAGACTCAGATTAGTTTTAATTATTTAGATATATATATTGATATTTTATAACTTGAAGTATTAAAAAAAATAGTGATTGTATTATTACAGGTGTACCAAAGAAAGTCAAAAATTTATAATATAATTAAAATTTAATTAAATGTAACAATTACATATTAATGGTTAAAAACCTGTCTCTTGTAATAAATACTATATTAATTTGCATGTAACAAAAGTTTATTTTTGATTCCATAATTTGGTACGTATTTTTGTTTTATGTTTCTCATTCATTTTAAATTTATTATTTTATTTAATGTTATCTGTAAATTGGTGTCATAATTGTATTTTTGTTTCATTTTGGAACTCTATGCCACCTCAAATGTACTAATTAATTAACCATAATAGCTAGCATTATATACATGATGATTCCTCCTTTGTAACATGCAGCATTGAAAAGAGAAAAGATAATGATGTTGACAATGTTTTATTATGCTCTGGCTTTCACCATTTTTTCATTTTTTGCAGTGCTGAAATGGAACAGCTTAAGGTACTCAAGGAAAGGAATGCCTCCAGGGTCACTGGGATGGCCTTTGGTTGGGGAGACTATCAAATTTCTCACACAAGGACCAGATTTCATGAAAAGGAGCACATTAAGGTGTTGTTCTACAAAAGAACCTTACATTATTCTTTAACTTTTTTATTTCTAATTTGTTAGATTTGAATACCCTTTTGCTCCTTCATATTGATTACTTTTTCTATCTTGTTTTTAAGATTTTCTTTTTCAATTCCTATAGTTGTTTATAAATTTTATAAAAGAATTTCTCCTGTTTGGATATGTTTTTTACATTTACAAAACATCATTCTTGTCTTCTAATTGAGAAAGATTAAATAAAATTTCTTTTAGACAGAAATAAACATGTAAGAACTAAGAGTTTTTTTTTTTAAATACTTTAAATAACTAAATTACTATTTTAATATACTAAACTAGTATACTTATTTGTGAAACGCCCGAGATTTTAATAATTATTAAATATATTTATTAATTAGTATTAATTGAAGCTTTTCAAGATAATTAAAATATGACTGATCATAAGTTATATTAATATTTTTATCTTGCAACGCACCAGATTTTATTAAAGGATTAAATATAATTTTAGTTTGTTAGTTTTTAATAGAAATTAAAATTAGTCTTTCTTTAAAATTTTAGATTAATTTAATTTTTTATATTTTTAGAATTATGTGAATTTAATTATTTTAATTAGATTTTGTGAAATTTATTTGAAATTTTAAATATATTTTATTAAAATTTCAAGTAAACTTAATAAAATCTGATTGAAAAGATTAAATTTACGTATTTTTTAAATTAAGACACTAAAATAAACCTTCAATATATTTACTAACTAATGATAATAAAAGTTTTAAAGGATGACTCGTTATATATTAAACTATTATTTTTTATCTCTACGATAAAAGTTACGAGTGCTTTATAAATATTTCGAACGTTTAAAAGAAATCACATCAATTAAATTAACCATAATATAAAATTGTTTTTCAGGAAATTTTTACAGAACCCTATATACCATTTTTTTTCATTTAAGAAAATCTTTTCTGATGATTATTCTTTTGGTACACGTCCATTAATTTGACAAATCTAATTAAAAGTAAAGCTGAAAATGAAAAACAAAAACAAAATAGAACTGATAGTTAAAACTTCAAATTAATAATTTTAAAATATAACTTATCTAAGAAATTTTCGAAAACATAAAACAGCCATAAATTAGACAAATACATGAAAAAACCAAAAGAAATATTTATGATATTAGAAAAGCATATTTTTTTTTTGTTTTAGATAAATACAAACAAACCGATACATGCATATTTTTTTGCAACAAATAAATAAAAGTTGCTAAAACATGTAAGCATTTCTACATATTTTCTAAAATTTATGCCAGAGATTCCAATATTTAGGTATATGAATAGATATAATTTTCTATATTATAAATTAATTTTATAAAATTGAGTGTTTAATTCTTCAGTCACACTGTCCATTAATATTTAATTATATATATATATATATATATATATATATATATATTTCAGTATAATAAAATGAATATATAAGTGAGTATAAATTAATTAGTGTTATCAATATGAGTAAATCAATGCGATTCATCATGAATTCAATCTGAATGAATTAATTGAATTCATTACGGTTTTAATTTGGATGAATCTACTTGATTTATTAGATAAGCTGGATTTTTAGTGATTCAAATTCAAAATTTATTCATATTAAAATTTTAATTTTTTTTAATCTAACTTGATCCAAATACGTGATGAATTGATTTGGCTTATTGATTCTAATCCATGACTATAAATATCAACATATGTTTTAAGTTTAAAGTTATTTTTTAAAAATTTATGAAAATGCTTTTTCTATCCCCAGTGTTTCTCCTATTTGTTTCCTTGTACTTCATGTAATTTTGAAGCCAAGTTGTCTCCTTGCATTCAGATATGGAAGTCTCTTCAAAACTCATGTATTGGGATCTCCTACTGTTATTAGCACGGATCCTGAAATCAACAGATACATACTCATGAATGAAGCAAAAGGCTTGGTTCCTGGCTACCCGGACTCCATGAGGAAGATCCTTGGGACTAACATTTCTGAGGTTCATGGTGCAGAACACAAACGAATAAGAGGCTCACTGTTATCTCTCGTTGGTCCAATCGCAGTTAAGGATCGTCTTTTGACAGAAGTTGATGACTTCATGAGCTCTTACCTAGACAATTGGGATGGTAAAATAGTTGATATACAAGAAAAAACTGTTGAGGTATGCATCAATCATATATATAACTGTTTGATTAAACCGTCAAAACCATATATGCTAGACTATGAAAGGAAGAATCAAAACGGTTAAATCCATGAAACACTCACCATGCATGTCTGTATTCTTTGATTTGTTGTTCTTTTCAGATGTCATTCTTTGTTTCCATGAAAGCTGTGGTGGAAGATGAGCCAAACTCTTTCATCGAGTACTTCAAAGCCTCGTTTGATAAAATGGCATTGGGAACAATATCCTTGCCATTTAAAATTCCAGGAACTCAATATTATCGAGGTTTGAAGGTATAAGATTTTTTAAAAAATATTATGAGATAGCAAATCCAAATTTACTTTCAAGACGGCTTTGCGAAACATAAAATAAACTTAAGAACCATGCTTTTTCAAATCCAAATTTACTTTCAAGACGGCTTTGAGAAACATAAAATAAACTTAAGAACCATGCTTTTATCTTAATTTTATTTAAAATTCATTTTTGAAATATTTTTTCTTCTTGAAAACTTAAAACAATTATTAGTATTAATTAAAAAAATTATTTATTTTTAGGCCTAAAGCAGCTAAGTTAAACTAGTTTCACTTATGTTGGTCACAGGCTAGGGAAAAAGTGCTTGCAATGCTAAGAGAGCTGATAGCCAAGAGAAGAGCTTCTTCAGCCACTCATAACGACATTCTTGATCAACTTGTGAGAAATGAGGATGGTAAGTACAAGCTAAATGACGAAGAAATAATGGAGCAAATCACCACAATTTTATACTCAGGTTATGAAACGGTATCAACCACTACAATGATGTCTATCAAATACCTATGTGATAACCCTGACATTCTACAGGCAGTAAGGGTGAGTTATAGGTTATCATTCTTTCCTGTTAAAAGCAATAATTCATGTTTTATGTTTCGGAAATCTAATACGAAGTAAAGATAAAATGAATTTATAATATATAACTAGATATAAATTTTACTTCATGAACTGATTTTTTGAAATTGAGTTATATTTCTTATCAATAAAAGGCATTATGCAGGATGAGCATTTTGCAATCTTGCAGAAGAAACTGCATGGAGAACGGATCAACTGGGATGACTACAAGAGCATGAGGCAAACTCGTGCGGTAGACATTTTCTGTATCAATATATGAACTAAAATTACAGAGCAAAGTGATGATAATTAAGCTAAGAGATTTTGAAGTACTTTTGTTTTGTGTGTGTAGGTATTACTTGAGACAATGAGATTGGCTACTGTTGTTAATGGAGTGATGAGGAGGACTACTAAAGATATAGAATTGAATGGTGCGTTTTTCAATTTGAGTCAATTGCTTTGATACATGAATATTCATTGAGTATGGCAATCACTTTTTAGGTTATATGATTCCCAAGGGATGGAGGGTTTATGTTTACACAAGGGATGGTAACTTTGATCCCATTCTCTATGAAGAACCTTTTACTTTTAATCCAAGGAGATGGCTGGTAAGATTTGATAATAAAGAATTACATTGTTCTTATGTGAATAATTGCAAAACATGATCTTGAAGATAAAATGATGCATGCAATGTAGGAGAAAGGGTTGGAGACTCATAATCACAACATGCTATTTGGAGCAGGAGGTAGGGTTTGTCCTGGAAAGGAATGGGGCATGTTCAAAATCAGTATTTTTATTCACTATTTGGTGACTAGATACAGGTATATTATTAATTCTTCTCATATTTTAATTTACAATGGGATCTGTTAGCAAATTTTAAGAAAATATGTGTAGTAGAAAATTTTGAAATTAATATTAAAAATCAACATAAATTCTAATTCATAAATTAATTATGATTTTTTTATGTATAATAAAGATTAATTTAGATATATATCAATAATTTGTAAAAAATTTAACTAAATGTTTTTATTTTTTTAAAATTGATTGCTACTTAATTTTTTTATTAGTGTTTTCTGTTATGTAAATAAAGTTTGTATATAGGTTGGATATCCTAAAAATCCTCATTTTATATATTCTTTTTACTGATAAAAAAATTATATTATTGTTTATAAAAAAATATATAGGTAGTTTACTCTTTTCCATCCTAACGTTCTTTTTCTTTTTTTATCTTTAGTTTTAAACAATGATGTAATTGTAATGTTTAAATTTGGTAGAGTTATTATATAAGAAAAATCAAAAGATTGATTAAGTGGTTATTAAGTAGGTGTATTTTTTATCAAAAAAATTAAATATATTAAATAAGAATAATTAGATTGTTCAAATTTATATAAAGAAATGTATGTTCAAGAAGGAAAAAAAAGTTTTTTGATTAGTAAGTGTTATTAAGCAGGTATTATTCACTTTGACTAAAACCACAATAAAAGAAAACATAAAAAGCTTTTAAAACATTTAAACATTATTATTAGGAGGCCAAACACTTGTAGTTGCAATGTTAGATGCTAATGGTGGGCATATTAGTATCTCCTTTTTGGATACCAGTGGTATTTTAAGCACTCCTTTAATGGTTGGCATTTTTATGTCTTAGTAAGGACATTAGTATTCAAATATTTTTACTATTTTAAATTAATTGCTTATTTTTCCTCTTGACTAAAAGTGTATTTTTTTTTTTCAGATGGGAAGAAGTTGAGGGAAGCAAAACACTTGCGAAATTTCCAAGGGTGATGGCACCAACAGGACTACACATGAAGATAAAAAAATACTAAGAAGAAAGATAATCCTCTAATGTTTGATCAAGGCATTGTCATGGACCCCTATGATTATAATTCTAGTAATAAAATCACTGAGTGTTAAAATCTATTACTAGTTATAGACATGACATTCATGTGATTTCATGAAGAAAAAACCCTTTTAGTTTGTGTATTTATTAAATTATTATGAATAGACAAGCACAATCTATTTACTAAAAAATTCATGAAAAATACAAATATATCAAATAAATTAATTTCTAATTTAAAATGTCGACTTTTTATCTTTCATTTTTAAAATTTACTATAGTGTACACAAATCCCTTATTTTGAATGAATCATTTTGATGATGTAATTCCCTTTATATTGAATACAAATTTAAAAATGTTTTACATCCGTGATTGTCCTCAGAACGATGAGTATTACTCGGATGTAATTTGTTAATAACTCTGTTATACGAAGCCTGGAAAATAGTAACTTAACTATTTTATCCAATAACTTATGATAAGATATATATGTAGATAAAATTGACTAAATTTGAAAAAAAAAAAGTACTTTTAAACTTAAATAATAAATTAAATGTATACAATTTTGTAAAGTTTATGTAAAATGTAACCAAAATGTTTTTACTTAACCGTAAAAGCATAACCAGCGTTATTCTGACTTCTAAATTCACTTATAAAAAGAAAATTATTAGAGTTAAAAAATTACCAATGCATCCTTTACCATTTTTTTCTTCATATTTTTAATTTTCTATAACTATGTTAACCATTTTCTTATTTGCTTTGAGATCGATAACAATACCTTGTTTTAACTATTTTCATTTATTTTTTACATACATTACTACAAACACGAGTTTCGATGTTTGCTATTTTTATCTTTAACATCATTCCAAACTCTAATATTTTAGTCAAAGACGTTAATTTGATGTTGGAATGACAAAACGACGTCAACCCTGAACAAACAAACTTCCATTAACGACAGACATAAAAGAAATCGACGTCTAGAAGCATTCAGCGAAAGGATCTACACACTAAGCGCATATTTTTGTGAACACTTTGACACTCAGCAAGAGGGGACATCGTTGAGCGCACAATTTTACACTGAAAATGGGGGACAATTGACGTCAACTATGATAAGGGCCAACATCAATTATAGCTTTTTTAAAATAATTTATTCATTTTTACAATTTCGTTAAACTTGAAAAATAGAAAACAAGCATGCCGACCTTGATTAATAGTGACTATGTCCATGTCTATAACAAGAAAGTTAAGTATATATTAAAAAGTAATAATTTGAATATGTAAATATGAACTATTCAGTATTTTTTGACGAATTTTTCTTCTGATAATTATCAATAGATATAAAATTCTGTCGGTATATGTTATTAACTGTATTATTACCAACAGATTTTGGGTCATCAAAAATAAGTCAAAAAAGACATTATTGATGAATTTTTCACGTTTTCTACAAATTTTGGTCGTTTATAATTCTTTTTTTTTTCTTGTAGTGAATGGAATTTGATTCGCAATATGCAAGCAATTGACTTCAAATGGGTCAGTGTGGTGCTCATAGCTAGAGATGAGAAGAGGATGTTGAAGGTGTTGAGAAACTCAAAGAACTAGGATATGAATAATGTACGAAAAAAAATAGAGAGAAATGCTGTGTGAAATAATTTTTATAAAAAGTTATATTTTCTATCTTGCACTTGTGAGTAGACATTCCCTTACCAACATTTATGGGCTTTTCAATTTGGTATTAGGTCTGCTCACTTTTATGTGCTTATTGTTTGAAAGAATTCGTGCTTTATCAAACACAAAATAAAAATTACAGTGTTGTATCACCTGTTAAACGAAACACTGTCATTCATGATTTGTTATTCATCAAGCTCTCATCTTTCAAACGAAGTGTAGTCATGTTTTTATGCTTAATTGTCTTTAGTACTTAATCAATTTTACAAGTTGTTTGAACTTTTTTCTAACATACTTTAATAATCAAAAAGTGATTTGCATACTCATTGTAATATGTCCTAATATGAAGTGGGTTGGTGTATTAATTGTAATCAATTTGTTTAATCAATGAAACTTCGAGTTGATAGCTTGAAAGATAATTTGATGTAATCTATGAATTTGAGTGAGTTATTATAAAGTTGTTTTGTGATGTTTGTGTCGCTTTTACATTAGATGGTTTAGTCTAGCCTTTTACGAAAAAAAGAGTTTAAATCTCTATACAACTTCTATTTGTAAAACTATTATTTATACCAACGAACTCAATTGAAGTGAAATAGTATTCTCTCTTTTATTGTAAGTATAGATTGTCTATTATGCCAAATTTTACAAAATTTATTTTTTTTAGCAAAGGTTTTTTTTTTTCAAAATATAGACTTTTATCCGTTAATCAATCTATTAGAAATTTTATCTACTTTTTGAACATTTGAAAAAAGGTTTTAACTCTATTTAGTCTCTTCCTAAAATTAACAAATTGTTTCATTGATGAAAACCATAATAATGCCATCGTACACTGGTGATATAATAATAATGATGATAGTGTAATATACTCTTTACCTTTTAAATATTTTATAACTATCACATAATTCATTCAATAAAAGGGTTACAATCTGTGTCTTATCGTAATTCTTTTTACTTATGTTGCCTTTATTATATTTTGTTTCAAATCAAATATTTATCTTCATAGTTTTTATTACATAAACAAATGTGCAGAAATAGATGGAAGCTCTGAGAAATCACCAGATAATTACTATAATATATATATATATATGGTTAGCAATTTATAGTATATAAATAAATATAAATTTTAATTTTATAAATTAGTTTTATAAGATTGAGTCATATTAAAATAAGTATAAACTTCACCGTAGGCTTAAAGTTCATTTATTAGTACTTACATTACATAAACACACATACAAAGGGATACGAGTTTGGGTTATGTTTTATGTATATGACATACTTCTCCCATTAATTTAAGCAAGGGCAGTGAAGCCACTGAGCATATAACCCTAATTCTTTTTATCTGCATTCAAACGAGTTAAAAGGGGTTGTGTACAATATGTGTTAGGTATATAGAACCAAAAATGTGCATAGATTCCGATTATGAGTTTCCCAATGTGACGACCCTCAAAATAGGGGCCGCAGACCCACAAGGACCACCGCCGTTTAACCTTTATTTTTTTCTTCCCTCCTTTTGGCTCTTTATGCTTTTATTTTATGTCTATGCCCTATCATTTATATGCATACGTTTTGGATATCATTTTAAAATAAACTATACCTAACCCTACCCAACTCAATGTCTTTTAAATGGTTCAATATATATCGTGACTTCACTTTATCTTATTTATCTTATGTTAATTAGTAGGGATTTAATTCAAGTATCATGAATATTAAACATTTTACTCATATATAAGATTTTAAAACTAAAATCATCTAAAAAGTTTCAAATTTCAAAATTGACAATATGTCAAATATGATAATTAATCCTAATAATATAATGTTATGTTTTCAAAATAGATAATTTCAAATACGATCATTAATATGGAATAATATTATTTACATGTTAATTGGTAAGGATTAAATTTAAGTCTCATACTAAATATTAAATATTCCATTCATTTATAAGATTTTAAGAGTAAAATCGTTACATGAGTTTTAGATTTCAAAATAAATAACATTGACTCTAAAAAAACATCATCTCAATAAACTTGAAGTCAAAATAATATTTTTTAAAACAAAAATAAGGAAATTAAAATTAATCAATACATTACAATAAAAAATTTATGCCAACCACCTCTACATTGAAATTTGATATTAAAAATGGTAGCATTAACAAAAGAGTTTAGTTGGGCAACGCACGATGAATAGAAAATTTAGGATTCCCATCCTCACGTGATGTGGCCTCAAAATCTGGGATGTTGTTTTTTCTTTTGTTAAAAGCTTGTTGCTGCCATCCCACTATCTGCTTAAAAAACTATTTTCCGAAAATGTTAATTATTTTTGCCACCTTAGGCTGCATACTTACATCAGAGGGTCATGGTTTCATATTGCTTTTGTTTTGGTTTCTCACTTTTACTTTTCTCTCTTCTGTCAAGCTTTTTTTTGCTTCTTTTGATGATTGTGGAATGTGGGAATAACATTGATTCCAATTATGTTCTCTATGCTGTTGTTTCGATGTCTTTTAGGTCACATGATTGCCATCTTCCTTAGCGAATCATGCATGCATGCATGGTAACTATGAACAAAATCTATGACACTGGCTACTCTTATTACGAATGTGTATAATGGGAACAATCATATCTCTTCAATAAGATCATAAGCTTCATGTAATAAATTTAAAACCGGCTACTCAATTCAGGAATACCAAACACAATTTTAAAACCGAGAACTTTTAAATATATTAACATGAAAATGAAAAAAAAACATTATTTAATATTCGAAAGTAAATTTAAGTACCTCACTAATCATGCATATATCTTATCATGTTGAGAAAAATACATAGATCTAACAAACTTTCGATGATAGGTTTTGAAATCATATTAGTTTAAAGTCAAATCATCGTTATAAAATGAGCTTTGTAATAAGGTGTGAATTGTCTCTATTAAATTCAAATTTTAGATTATTAATATAATATTGTTAGAGTCACTCTATATGGATTATTGTTTGATTTAAAATTTCCGTTTTATTCTTAAAATACGTTTTTGAGAGTTGAAGAGGAATATATATTTATATTGTCTTTTGACATATATTTCTAAACAATGTGGTTATTTAATGTACTAAAAGTTCTAAATCAAGGTCTAATATGGGAAGATAGTTCATTTCCCAATAGACTAAGAGAATGAAGATATGTGTTTGAAATCTCATTTTCATATCTTATTGATAGTGTCAATATTTTAACCTCAATTCCATTAAGATAGCATCGCTAGAGTACCTAATGGCATTTCAACTATTGTCCACTTTATAGTAAATATGAGATTCCTAACATTTAAACTATTACAACAAATTTTTTTTAACATTTTATTATCAA